TGTTGATGTTTCAGTGCTGAGCACAATCAGTCCTGATTAATGCTTCTTAGAGGAGGCAGGTGGCAGGGTGGGGCTTGGGCAGCCACGTCCCCTGTGCTCTGCCACACAGTTCAGGACTTGCCTCACCCAGTGACTCCACTGAGATCTGCTCTGGCTCCCCAAAACCAAAATAGCCCCTTCAGGGGTCTGAGTGTGACCGCTGGCAGTTCACAGCCCTGCTGCAGCTCGGGTGCCTCCTTGGGCTCCAGTGGGCATGGGCCTGGGCACACAGCACCTGGGAGGACACAGCAGAGGGTGGTTTGCAGGGGCTGGATCCACCAAACCAGTGAGGTCCTGACACTGGGTGTCCTGGTGCTCAGCCTGTGAGGAGTGACCACGTGGGAGCTGCTCAGTGAGGATGGCAGGAGCTTGGCCCTGTGTGTGTGGGAAGGCAGGGGACACCCCACCCAGGCCCTGGGAGAAGGAGCTGAGCCAGGATCTGCTCAACTCCAGCTCTACACAGCTTGTTACTGTCCTTCCTGGTTTCTCTCTGTGGGCTCCCAGCCTGGCCAGAGCTTCCAGGGGCTGCCTGGGGACAGGCTTTTGAGCAGGGCTTGTTGGGACAGGACAAGGGGGGATGGTTTGAAACTAAAACAGGGAGATTTAGACTAGAGAGAAGGAAGAAATGTTCTACACTGAGGGTGGTGAGCCCCTGGCCCAGGCTGCCCAGAGAGGTGGTCACTGCTCCATCCCTGGAACCATCCCAGGGGAGGTTGGCCGGGGCTCTGAGCACCCTGCTCTAGCTGGGGATGTCCCTGCTCAGGGCAGGGGGTTGGACCAGGTGACCTTTAGAGCAGTTTGGGCTGGAAGAGGCCTTTATGATTCCCTGTCACCTCTGTGCTCTGGGGCAGCCAGGGCACCCTGAGCTCTCATTCAGAGACAACATCCAGGTGCCACCAGACTTGTTCCTGGAGCCACATACAAATATATTGAGTTCTGTGGAAACCTTTACCCACGGATGAGCTGGAAGAGAAGTGTCCCACTGACAGAACATGAGATAACTTGGTTCCTTGATGAATTCAGATCAGCACTGGGCTGTCCTGTCAGTCACTTACCTGCAATCCTTGATTTTGCCTCAAAACCCTGTCCCTACCTGTGTGACCCTGGTGTCCCTGTCCCCAGGTGCTCTGTCTGGCTGTGGCCGTTGGTCACGTGAAGATGACAGAGGATGAGCTGGTCTACAACATCCACCTGGCCATCAACTTCCTGGTGTCCCTGCTGAAGAAGAACTGGCAGAACGTGCGTGCCTTGTACATCAAGAGCACCATGGGGAAGCCCCAGCGCCTCTACTGAGGGGGCAGCAATAAACTTTTAAGACACCTACAGTTGTTTGGTTGTGTTCTACCCAAAACTTCTTGGGAAGGGTTTTGCTAGAGAGCTTCTGTGTGACAGAAAGGTCTCAAAATGCTGCATTGGGGTGGCAGGGATCAGATTCTGAGGGAGGGGGCATCATGCTTGATTCAGGGTGGGGAAACAGCTCCCCGTGCATTCAGAACAGGCACAACCAAGGTGGTTGCCACAGCAGGAGGTGTGCAGGCAGAGCCCTGCCCTCCAGCAGGCCCTGGGGCTGGCAGGGCTGCTGCTGCCATCCTGGCCAGCCCAGCAGAAGCTGCTAGAAGGCAGCAGGGCCTCCAGGCTCAATTTTGCTCCATGAGTTTTTTCCCCTCTCCCTTTGAAAAAGACCTTTGCTTTTTTCACCATCCCTTGTTCTGCCTCTGCTGTGTTGTCCTGCTGGTCCCTTTCCCTTCTCTGTTTCTTCTTTATTCCTCCATCTCCCTATCCCTGTTTTTTTGACCTTTATTTCTGCTCTTTCTCCACACTTCTGATCCATGTCCCTCTTCACATCATCTCCTTTCCTGGTTGCCCCTCTCCCTTTGAAAAAGACCTTTGCTTTTTTCACCATCCCTTGTTCTGCCTCTGCTGTGTTGTCCTGCTGGTCCCTTTCCCTTCTCTGTTTCTTCTTTATTCCTCCATCTCCCTATCCCTGTTTTTTTGACCTTTATTTCTGCTCTTTCTCCGATCCATGTCCCTCTTCACATCATCTTTCCTGGCTCCCTGTCTCACCTCTTCCTTACATCTCTGCTCTTCCTCCTGCTTTTCCCTTTCCTGCATTGGGGCTCTGAGGTTTGTGGCCAGTTTGCTGCTGGGATTTCTTCTGTGCACCACTGAACAAACTGTCCTGCGTGCCCTGGGAGTGTCTGCAGAGCTGGTGGCTGTGGGCAGGAGCAGGGCAGGGGGTGACGAGCTCAGGGGCTTGCTGGTGAGGCTGGGCTGGCCCAGCTGTGGGAGGGGTTCTGGCTATCAAGGGGGCTACCTGGGCACAGCTGCCTGAGGGAGCTGACCAAGGGGACCTGGCTGAGGAATCCAGGGGGGTCACCCCAGGGCAGGTGCCTCAGGGAGTCCCCGTGGTGAGGAAGGAGCTGTCTGAGCTGTGCCCACACGTGCTGGGAGCTCAGCACCTCCAGCCATGACACGAGTGATGCTCCACCTACCAAGGACACCTTGGGGACGAGTGGCATCGAGGTGTCCCCACTGCAGGCTGCTGAGCCAGGGCAGGGAAGGTCTCAGCAGGAGCTGGGGGGAGTCGTGTGTCCCCCAGCCCATCCTGCTGCCCTGCCTTGGACCTTTTTGCCTTTACAGTTTGCTTTCTCCCTGCTTCCCTCGAGGAGTCCATCCACATTTAATTCTTCCTTGTTTGTCACATACCCTGCTGCCTTTTTTCTTCTTTCATTCCTTTTTCCCCCCAAAACCTGAGTCCACCTCTGTTGCCTGGGTCAGTCTCTCCATCCAGCAGGGCTCCAGTTGGTCCCAGTGGACATCTGTGCTTTGTTCAACTCCCTTTTGAGCTCATCACACCCCCGGGACTCCTTTGCCCTCTGCAGCCCCTCCAGGACCCCTCTAATCCCTGTGATGATGCCTCTGGCTCTGCCCAAACCCATCTTCGTGCTCCAGGGCAGTGGGTTTGGTTTCCATTTTACAGGATGATTCAGTTTGGTGCCTGGTACCCAAAGACATCTGTCCTCAACTCCGACCTCTGGTGGAGCTTTTTCGGAGAAGTCGATAGCACCGAGGTGCTGCTGAAGAGTCACAGCAATTGTTTGCTTTGTAACCAAAGGTATTGTTGAAAAAGGATTCTTGTGGGGTAGAATTTGGCCATTTTTTTGGTCCCACACAGGACATAGCTCTGGTAGAAGTTCAGCAGCACACAGAGTCTTGCTCATAATGAAGTATAACTCAATAACACACTAGATTTTTTTCTATTAAAATAAAACATCTCTTTTTTTTGATAAGAATATTTTACATTTAACAAAGTACTTGACTGGCTACCCGAGCAGGACACCTGGCTTCTATCCACACCCCAGAAAAATTAAATTTACTTACCTGGTCACCTTGTGGGCTCAGTTGGGGTCACTGAGCATATGCCATCAGGTCCAGCTCACGTGGGGAACGCAGAGGCTCAAGCAGCTGAAGCAAAGGTGGGAGCCCCAGGGTTGGGGGGGCTGTGAAAGGGCTGCCAAGGGAAAGTGAAGACCCTTGAGGGGGAAAATCACATTTATAGACTTCTGCTGCCCCACACCACCCAATGGCTGGGGCTGGGGGTCCTGCCCAGCAGCAGCTCGTGAGGACTTGATGGGTGTCTGCCAGCTGGCCCCAGTTCCCCATGGGACTGGGTGGTGCTGGGGGGGGTGGGGTGGGAGCTGCAGCTCAGCAGCAGGGTC